TCTTCTTGCATGCCAATCGAGAGAGGCCGCCCGCACCCCCCCTACTCCGACCCATGACCCACCCACCCCTACTGATTCATGAAAAATAACCCCACCCTTGAGCTAAAAACTCACCTCTTGTAGTACCCTACCCTACTATACAACCCACATCTCCCCATTTTAGCACCCACCCTTACTCCTTCACAAATACCCTATCTCCTCAGTTCCATGATTCTCTACCCCTACCCCCAAGCTATCGAATTTGTTCAGGGACCCCTACTGTTCGGGGTTTTCGTACCCCACCTCTGAGTGGGATAGTGAGTACCCCACCAGGGTCTCTACCGCCCTACTGCACTTGTACTAAACGAACTCACACATCACCCGACCACCTCCACAGAAAGTACCCCCACCCCCCTTTCTCCTTCTGTTTATTGGGGGAAATACCCCGAAGTCACTACCCTCACCACCGCAACGAACTAGGGGAGAACTTTTGCAGAAATTCTATGGATAGGTGGGGGGTAGTCACTCATCGCCCTCATGTTGATCGCAGCCTCGTCCCCTCCCTGACCGAGTTGTCAACCCGATCCCCAACTCATCTCCCTCATTCCCCATGGCGCGGAGGGAGGCGGAGGAAGCGGCGGAGGCGACAGGTGAGATGCAACAAGCATGCAGGAGCTTCATCAGCTCCTCCTCCTCGATCCTCTCACTCTCCCTCCTCGATCCTACTCGTTCTACTCGGAGATCCTGGATACTTTTCCTGGACCACTCACACAAACATTGCCCTGGTCCACTTCCTGCAGTGCTCTTTCCTCCTTGGCCTCACCCTCACGGTATCTGCCGTTGACTCCTCGTATTCTGCAGTGGAGAAAAAGCGCAAGATCAGCGATGACCTGGCAGCGATAGATTTGGTTCCCATCCCAGCAGAGGAATCCTGGGTAAGTCGCTTCCCAACCTGCTGACGCTGACGCTTGTGGCTCGTGATGATCGGTCTTGTCTTGTCCCTCAGGTTGAGCAAGGGCTCGATGTCATCCTCGCTGCTGTGGCGGATTCCAGCCCTGTCGGTCGACCGCGAAGACTCGCGGCGCTGCTGGAGCTGGAAAGGCGCTCTGGGATCTTGAGGAACCTCCGGACGGCAAGGGAGACGGCGGAGACTCTGTGGCTGCAGCTCAGGGACACGGCGAGTGGCGACGTCCATGCTCTCTGCCTCTGCGTTGCTGCCCTTGAGACGCTCGCCTGCTCCCCCAAGATCATCGACGCCGAAGCGCGGCTCAAGCTGCAGCCCCACCCTCGGCTTGCACGCGGTCAGAGCGAGTTGATCGCCGACGCGATCGTGCATGAGATGATCGAGGCTGTAACGACGCCCAAGATCGCCCCGAGGCTCATGCAGCGCTGCATGATCGCGCTGCTGAGGATAGGAGCTGCGAGGCCGGAGATGCAGCGGCCGGGGCTGGGGTCGGCGATCGGGCTAACCCTGAGGGAAGGAAACTCGCAGTGTAGGAAGGTGGCGCTGGAGCTGCTGGCGCAGTCTAAGGTCTCAGTCGGGAGCCAGGAGGGACTTCAGATCTGCCGCTCGTTCCGCAAGGATGCTGACCACGTGGTGCGGGCGGCTGCGATCATGAGCCTTCAAGCATGGCGGCCCATGGACGCGACCATGCTTGAGGACGCGGTGAGCAGCCTATCGGACGACATAGCGGAGGTGCGAGAACAAGCCTTAGTGTGGCTGGGAAACATCGCGATCGACAATCGCTCTTTTCACTTCCCCAAGTCGAAGAAGACGGAAGTCAAGCTCACGGACTCCTGCTTCATGCAGGTACGGCCTGCTGCTGTCCCCTTTCCACCACCCCGTCCTCTCCTCCCCTGCAGCCCTCCTGACATGCTCTCTTTCACGATCAGGTATGCGGAGCTGTCTTCGACAGTGAGATGAGCGTGAGGGAGGAAGCATGCCGCGTGCTGGGAACGATCCCCGCGGTCAGCGTGCATTACATGCTGCAGACGCTGACCAAGAAAGTCTTGTCTTCCGAGCAACTGAACGAGGTGATGATGATAGAATGGAGGAGGAGGAGGAGGAGAGAAACGTGGGAAGGGGGGAGCTGAAGGGGGAGGGGGGGGTTGGATGATGATAATGATGATGTCGAGGATGAGAAGGATGATGATGATGATGATGATGATGATGATGATGATGATGATGATGATGATGATGATGATGGGAACAGGTTGAACAAACGGCCCTGGAGGGGGAGGGAGACTTGCAGATCTCGCAAGGTTCTTCTCTCCTCACAGCAGATGCTGCTGGCGCCTTTGTGGTGGCTCTCGAGGATGAGTTCTGGCAAGTGCGATGCGCAGCCATCGGAAGCATCTGCGATCTCGCACTGCGCAGCAGAACCTTTCGTGAGAAGGTGGGAGAAGAGAGGAGGGAGGGAGGAGGGAGGAGGACGAGGAAGAGGAGACAGCGACGAGTAGGAGGCGGAGGAGGACGCGGAGCGGCTTTTGGGCTAGCTGACACCACAGCAGGCGATGGACGTGCTGGTGGACATGCTGGCCGATGAGATCGAGAAGGTTCGAGTGGCAGCTGTGAACGCCCTCTCCCGCCTCCGCAACGTCATTGAGTTTGCCGAGCATCACCTCCAGGTCCCGCCGACGCCTCCCCGCCTTCCTGCCCCTCACCTGCCTGTTCGCAGGTTGTCTTGTCCCTGCTGGAGGATGTTTCCGAGCCGCTCCGAGCTCGGGTCCAGCTGATGCTGGGCATGATCCCCTTGACAAGCCCGCTATGTCTCAACCTCACCGTCCGGGCCCTCCTGGACAATATCAGAAGGTGCGGGTCCCCCCTCCCTCCTACCCCCACTCCCCTTCACCTCCTACCCCCACTCCCCTTCACCTCCTACCCCCACTCTCCTTCACCCCTTTGTCGACCTGCTTGCACTGACCGGCCGTTGACTGGCAGGTACCCAAGTGACACCCCGAACATCTACAAGGCGCTCTCGAAGCTGGGAAAGAACTGCTCGGCACTAGCTGAGGAGGTCGGAGGAGGAGCCGTTGGCCTTACGCCCCCTCACCCACCAGCAGGTCACCCCAGCCCTTCTGGTCCATCGCACGGACGACCAGCTGGAAAGCCCGTACCTCACCACTCAGGTACAGCAGCTGGACAAGAGGAGGAGGAAGAGCAGGAGGAAGGAGAGAGAGGAGGAGAGAGGAGGTGGTGGTAGAGAGGGGGGGAAGGGGGAGGCGCAGGGGGAGGAAGCTGATAGATGGCAGGCTGACGTGGACGATGAGACGTACGTGGGCATCCTCGTCATGGTTCTTTCAGCAGCTGCTGTAAACCCGCACGTGCTCGCTCAGTGTCCCTCCCACTGCCTGCGGCACTGGAGGCTGCTGAGGCATAAGCACCCGCACCTCATCCCCTGGATCAAGGTATAAGATCTTTTCCTCTCTCCTCTTCCTCCTTGTCCCTCCTTTCTCATCATCAAAATGTTCTTCTCCTTCTCCTTCTCCTTCTCCTTCTCCTCCTCCTCTTTCCTCTTCTTCTCATCATCAAAAATGTTCGTCTCCTTGTCCTTTACCTTCTCCTTCTCCTTCTCCTTCTTTACTATCATTATCATCTTCTCCATCATCATCTCCACCATTGCCCTTCCCATCCTTGCTGCTAGCTCCTCCTGAGGAAACCTCAGGTCTTGCCAGTCGGCGGTCAGATTTTGGAGCTTTCGCTGGAGCATGAGAGGTGTGTGCGAGTGTGCAGGTAGTGGGCGCCGGTGACAGAGCGGCAGGAGGAGCAGACAGGAAAGCAGGCAGGGGGAGATCGTCTCAGAAGCAGAGAGCTGCATCGCCCGAGCCTACCGCATCATCGCGGACATGCAGGGTCGAGGCAAGTCGAGCAGGGTAGGGCTGGAGGGGGAGCAGGAGGAGGCGAGCAGGAGGAAGGGTGCGGCGCCGGACTCGTTGGAAGTGAGGAGGGTGGAGGAGGCGCTGGGGATGGTGAAGAAGGCGAGGCGATGGCAGTCGTCCATCTGCGAGGGGATGGTATCCCTTGCGCACCTCTGCCTCCAGTCCGTCCGCTCCTGCCTGCTCCTCAAGCGCTCTTCTGCCGCCTGCCTCCTGACCCTAACCGCTCCGTCCAAGTACGACGGTAAGTGCCGAGAGGAGGAGGAGGAGGAGGAGGAGGAGGGGGAAAGTTCCTGATAGTCCATAGGTGGGCGTTCCTACTGGCTGCAGAGCCTGAGGGACGAACCTGTCAAGCTCGCAACCTTCGCTGCGAGGATGCGGCAGGGGATGAAGGTGAGGATGGAGGCGAGGAGCAGGGGAGGGGGAGGGGGGGGGAGGGCTGCGACAGCTGACAGAGGAGGAGCAGAACGTCTCGGGGGACGCACGGGTCAGAGCGATCGAGCTCCACGTCATCGCCCTCGCCGCCTCCCACCTCCACGTCCTGTCCTCCGAGTCAGAGGCCTCCCCAGCAGAAGCTCAAACAGAGCAGTCGCTGAGGGTGCTCGAGCGATGCTACAACTCGCTGCTGGAGGAAGCGGAGTCAGGTAGACCCCACAACCTGCTCCTCTTCCCCCCACGAACTGATGGTCCTGCCCGGGTGCAGCTGGGCTCACCATCCCAGATGCTCTAGAGCACCTCAACGGCCTCAACTTCGCGGCCCCTTCGAGCACACCAGACGCGGCGACACAGGCAAGTTCTCAGCGCCCTGCTGAATTTTTGCATGCCCCTGCTTCCTTCTTTCCCCCCCTAGCCCACTCACTCCGCCGCCGACTACACAACACAACCTCCTCCTCCTCCTCCTCCTCCTCCTCCTCCTCCTCCTCCTCTTCCTCCTCCTCCTATTCACCCTCTTGTCTATCCCTGCTCTTTCCCTCCCCTTCTTCTTCCTCTACCTCTTGCATTCACTGCTTCTCATCTACATCCTCGTCCATTCCTCTTTCCCTCCTCCCGCCTTTCCTGCGCTCTCTCTACCCGTCTTGTTTTCTCCTTCATCTCCGTCTGCTCGGCCTCACCGGAGCATCAGGCGCAAATTATCTGCCGATCTATCGAGAGCTTCTGGCCGAGTCTCGTCGGGCTGGACGCCAGCTGGAGGAGTCAGGACGCTTCCCTCCTCCCTCAGCTGTACCGAGCTGAGATCGTCAAGTCAGTCCCCACAACAACCCCCTCCTCCTCCTCTCCTCCTCCTCGTCTCTCCTCCCCC